TAGTCAGCAGTTTTACTTTTTACCATATCCAGGTATCCGATGTTATTAGGGGAGCTAACCGAGCATGTGATATAAATAGTCATCTCCAGTCCCTTAAATGCAGAGAAGCTACCACAGCAGATTTAAAATTTTGTGTACTACACAATGAGATGGCACCTTTCTACATTTAAATCTGTGGAGTGTTCTGTTCCGAATGATGAGGAACTTGGTCACACAGATAACTCTCCCAATGAAAGCTTCAAAAGTTAAACAACATGATTTTATCGACTGTTAAGGAAAAAACTCTAAATTGAACCATGACATCTACAATGACACAATTTTATATCATCTTTTAACGGCTAAAATTTGAAATACTCACATTAGGTAATAATAAAATTGTGACAACTGTGTTGGAATTATGCTCTAAAAGGTACAGAAACAAGACTCATCTTTTATTTTCATATGTGCTGTTATAGTCTCTATATTCTACAATATTCCAAATGCAAGACATCTGATCTCTAATTCTACCTAGGATGTGTATCACCAGATTATCTTTCTAGGATCAAAACAAAATGAAACAAAAAATCTAAATGTTAAAGAGATGATCAGCAAAGAAACTCAACCTCTTCCAATACGTGAGACTTCGGTGTGAGACACGTAAGCCGGGTGGAAACCTGTCTAAATACTCCACACAGCCCCTCCATCACCCTCTCTTATGCAAGCTGCACCATTCCAAGCCAACTCTCTTATTTCACTAGTGAGCCCTGTCAACACCGAGGTAATAGAACTGGAAAAACTCATCACTCCACAAGGACAGTCAAATGCGAGAATTTATTTCATTTGGTGAAAACTGTATCATTGCCAAATAAAACTAATGCAAATGTAGTAAAATATGCACAATTGGGAGTAATTCCTATGCGCAAAGGGCTCTTGGGGCACCTCCAATTCGTCCTGCAATCGTTTAGGCATTCTTTGGTTCCTTTGCCCAACTCATGCCCCATTTCTCAAGTCATCAGCCGGCAGGAGGGAAGGAGGTGCAGCCGACCACAATGAACGAATTAGCACGTATTTATGTATGTTGTCCACTGCAGTTTTATTCCCACAAGTTTTTCCTCACACTCTGCTCATCCAGGGAGAGAGCTGTGTTTTATTCATCTTTGCACTTCCAAAACCCAGCCAAATGTCCGGCATATAAAGTCATCCCTGACCTCTACTATGTGACAGGCACAGCACAGGGACCAGAGACAGGAAAGTAAAAGAGGCAGAAACCTCACAGAACCACAGTCCGGGGTGCCACGGGGGAAGATCTTCCATTAGCTGCCACAAGCCAATCATATAACGAAAGATCAGTTGGCCTAGCTCCACGCACTGTCTAGCTTTTCTCGTGCCGCCAGCTAAGGCTTTTATGAACAAAAGCAGGCTTTCTCTACAGACAGATAAATTTGTAGCTCCAACCTGGGCCACTGCTCTGAGTTTCATATTCATACTCATGCATACTCGACGTGTCTATTTAGAGGTAGTTTCAGGAATCAACTGCATGGACTCTGAAGCCACATGGCTTGGGTTGGAATCCCAGCTCTGTTACAAGCTGGCTGACCTTATGCAAGTCACTTAGAACCTCTCTGTGCCCCGTTTTCTCATCTGTAAAATGAAGACCATAAATAGTTCCTAGCACATATAGTTATTACCAGGAATAAGTGAATTAAGATGTGAAAGTACTTACAACCCTACGCTGGAACAGTTTATGCTTTCATAGTACTTCCTGTTATTGCTAGCATTAGTAAGACTGTATCCTAACAGATTATCTAAAATGTGTCCAAAACTGAATTCAGTGTTTGCCTCACAACTCCCACTGTCTGTGCCTCCCGCTCAGTAAACACCAGTATTCTCCTTGTTGATCCAGGGGACAAGATCACACCTCTCCCTTTTCCTCACACTCTCCATCCCCAAGTCCTGTCAGCTTCAAGGATCAGGAATCTCACCACTGACAATCATCTCTCCTTCCCCAAGCCACCATCATCATGCCCCCTGGGTACAGCACCAACTCCCCCACCCCCATCTTCACATTTTCACTCCACACTCTACCCCAGGACTCAGTTTCCACGCAGTGAAACTTAGATCGGACGCCACTGCCTTGATGACGCAGGCTCTCTCTCACAGTTCCAGCAACAGCTTTCACCTGAGCCTGCCAGGCGCCCCTTGGCTCGCCCAGCCTCCATCACCTGCAGCCGCTCTCCCTTTTCCACGCTGCCCTCAGAACACTCTCACCTTGCCTTGCTCTGCCCTGAGCACCTCTGACTGGTTTCCACCTCACGTCACTGTCCTGTGCTGGCCCTGCTCTGAGGCAGACCAGAACGCAGAGCGATGACAAGCACACACTCAGAAATCCCCTTGCCTGAATCCCATCCGGTCTCTTCCGCGTTTTGCCGGTGCAGTTTTGAGCAAAGTCTGACTTTTCTGTGTGTCAGTTTGCATGGAGATCTGAGTACTTAACTCAGAAGGTTGGCATAGAATTTCAGTGGCTAGAACAGTGCCTGACACATGTGCCTCTATGGAAGTGTTCACAGCTGTCTGATGTTTCCTGAGATGTTTCCCAAGCTCTTCCCGCCACTGAGATCCTCTGAATGGCCTTCCCTCACAGGCCCTTTGTAAAACAACTTTCCCTGGGCCGCTGCTGCCTGCTGACCTCCCTTTATGTTACTGCACCGATCACTATGTGAAACCATATTATGCATTTACTCTTTGTTACTTTCCCACTGTAACACGAGCACCACTAAGTTGGAGCCTGTCTTCCAGACCGTTCTATTTCTAGTTCTGACTCAGACTACAACTCCTGAACACTCGCATCCCATCTGGGCTAGGGCACCCATGCAACTCTCTTCATAACAACACCATACTTCATTGTCACTTTCAGGATCTCATCTGACCCTTGACAGAGCAACAGCGGAAGTACCATTTCCCATTTTAGAGTTCAGAAAGATCCAACTTTGGCTGACTTGTCTTTGTACACAGAGCTAGCAAATGGGAGAGGAAAAACAAATCAAAACCACTTCTTTCTGAGCCTAAAGCTCTTCTCCCCTCCCGGGATGAGAAGTTATTCACCCTTGAACTCAGTTTACAGAAATGCAACCTCGTGGTATAAATACACCCTGAGACATGCACAACACTCTCCCCTCAAAGTTCCTGACAAATGTGTCCCAGAGTTGGAGAACTGTTAGAGTACAGGACCAACTCATCAGTAGCATACTAAGAGTTAGCCAAGAGGTTCAAGCAATCAAATAGGGAAGACTGCACATTCCAAGTCGACAGAGCACGGGCCCTAAAACGTGCTATATCTGTGTTGAGCAGAACATGCCAGTCCCAGCAGGCTAACAGCTTTGTCTGCAAAAACCAGACAAGGTGAGGGGCCCAGATATGACTGCCAAGAACACCGTGAAAATGTTATTTTTTGATTCCTGTTCCACAGAGTTCCATGACCGATCATTCAAGCTGCCCCACAAGCTCAAGTGTTGTCCATGATCACAATGGCAAGGAGTGTAGGGTGGTGGTGGTGAGAAGTGAGGAGATGGCAAAATTGAAAGATCAAGACCCTCTGTCAAATGGCCAGCAGTCACCACATTCCTGGGGTGGGGGTACCCGATTTCTTTATAAAGCTCCCCCAGCAAGTTTACAAGCGTGCCTTTTCTGACGCCCCCTCACCATGTTTCTGGTCCTGTGGCCATCATGGACTAGGTCAGAGGCTGCTTTACCTCCACTTGAAAGAAAAAGGAAACTGAGGCAGCAGGCAGGTTACCTAAGGATTTATCCTCCACGGTCTGGCCACCCGCCAGGTCCTAAGGCGAGCCGGGACAGTGGATTCCTCAGTCCCTGAGGGAACCCTCCACCCCGGGCTCAGCATGTCCACCCGCAGGGCCCAGGGGCTGACCCGGGGCACTGGATCCCTTAGTCCCTGAGGGAACCCTCCGCCCTGAGCTCAGTGGGTCCACCCGCAGGGCCCAGGGGCTGACCGGGACACTGGATCCCTTAGTCCCTGAGGGAACCCTCCACCCGGGGCTCAGCGTGTCCACCCACAGGGCCCAGGGGCTGACCCGGGACACTGGATCCCTTAGTCCCTGAGGGAACCCTCCACACGGGGCTCAGCGTGTCCACCCGCAGGGCCCAGGGGCTGACCCGGGACACTGGATCCCTTAGTCCCTGAGGGAACCCTCCGCCCTGAGCTCAGTGGGTCCACCCGCAGGGCCCAGGGGCTGACCCGGGACACTGGATCCCTTAGTCCCTGAGGGAACCCTCCACACGGGGCTCAGCGTGTCCACCCGCAGGGCCCAGGGGCTGACCCGGGATACTGGATCCCTTAGTCCCTGAGGGAACCCTCCGCCCTGAGCTCAGTGGGTCCACCTGCAGGGCCCAGGGGCTGACCCGGGACACTGGATCCCTTAGTCCCTGAGGGAACCCTCCGCCCTGAGCTCAGTGGGTCCACCTGCAGGGCCCAGGGGCTGACCCGGGACACTGGATCCCTTAGTCCCTGGGGGAACCCTCCACACGGGGCTCAGCATGTCCACCCACAAGGCCCAGGGGGTGACCAGAAGCAATCCAAGACCCCTTATCAAGGAAGGCGCAGAGCAGGACTTTTGCACT